CTGGGGAGCAAACCCAGGGCCTTGTGCATGCTTGGCGACTGTTCTGTCACCAACTACATCCCTGACCTAAACCTGTGTTCCTCTCTCATATTTTGTTACAATAACAGAGGGCGGGGCGGGGGTGGAGACAAGAGCTAGGTGCTAGAGTGGCTGAGCACCTGGGAGGCCCCGGGTTCCATCCCCAGCACCTGAAAACCAAAAGAAAGAAGAGCACTGCTCAGAGAGCGAGCTCTGCTTGGTCAGGTGTTCCTGGGTGGTGCTTGCCCCAGAGGGGCTGGATGTACCTGCTGCCTCCTCTCTACTGGGCAGCTCATTTACATTAATGATGGTGCCTGCCGCCCCACAGGGTTCATTTTTTTCTTCTAAATATAAAACTTGCTTATTGTAGAAATTCAGGAACTAGAGAGTTCATTGCAGGAAGATGCGTAGAATCAAGGTCATCTGTAGCCTCCCTGCCTACTGTGACCGGCTCAACTCCTTAAGGGTCTTTCAGCTTACTTATCTGAACAGGTGACTAGATCACACTGCCTGTATCCCAGATGTCCCCAGGTCCCTCCAGGTGGCCATGTTGGCCTCACAGAGTCTCTCTTCCTTTTGACTTGCTGGCTGACATCCTTGGCTACCTGTTGAAGCCCTTTTCCATTCTACCCAAAGTCCAAGAGAACCTACATGTGTTCTGCCGGGTGGTGGTGGCATACGCCTTTTTTTGTTTTTTTCGAAACAGGGTTTCTCTGTGTAGCTTTGTGCCTTTCCTGGAACTCGCTTTGGAGACCAGGCTGGCCTCAAACTCACAGAGATCCACTTGCCTCTGCCTCCCGAGTGCTGGGATTAAAGGCGTGCGCCGCCGCCGCCGCCGCCGCCGCCGCCGCCACCCAGCATCTGCTTTTTTTTTTTTTTTTTGGTGGCACACACCTTTAATCCCAGCACTCGGGAGGCAGAAGCAGTTCGAGGCCAGCCTGGTCTCCAAAGTGAGTTCCAGGAAAGGCACAAAGCCACACAGAGAAACCCTGTTTTGAAAAACCAAAATAAATAAATAAATAAATAAATAAATAAATAAATAAATAAATAAATAAATAAAATAATAAAATAATAAATAAATAAATGAGTTCCCATTATCCCATATCCTTGCCATCAGTCCCCTGGGAGTGGCCCGTATGGCCTCCTGTCCCAGAGCCTACTGGGAGAACCTGCCTGGGGCATGCAGCTCTCTCTTCTGCCCTTGGTCATTCCTGAGTAGCAAATCAGGGAAGGTACCAGACAATTTCTCCAGAGATGTGCTGAGTATTTCTCATCACCAAGGTCTCCAAATGGCCTTGCCCAAGCCCCATCAGAGAATTCCTCCTCAGCTCAGAGTGCAGCCCCCATCTCTGGAGGCAATCTGTACTGCACTCACCAGGTACACCCTTTTCTGAGAAAGACTTCTCTACTCATGAGCTTCCAGTGACAGCCACCAACTCCTCTCAGGCTTGGCCATAGCTTTGGGAGCCCAATAATCTTTCCCTGGAATTTTTTTTTCCCCCGAGACAGGGTTTCTCTGTGCCTTTCCTGGAACTTGCTTTGTAGTCCAGGCTGGCCTCGAACTCACAGAGATCCACCTGCCTCTTCCTCCCGAGTACTGGGATTAAAGGCATGTGCCACCACCGCCCGGCTCCCTGGAATTTTTTGAGTGAGCAAAAAAGGTGGTCCCTTTCCGGTGGCAAAGCCGTGAGCTGGCAGGCCAGAGTCTGCAGTCTGAGTGGTGAGCTCCAGACACTGAGAGAGCATTTTGGAAATCTCTGACGGTATCCATCTGTGCCTGAAGCCAGTGCACTGGCACCCCTGCCTGCTGAACAGTTCGTTGCCGTGATTCCAGAAGTCTCACCTTTTGCCCAAGTCATCCCATTGTCCCTCACACAAGTCTCAAAGGACACAGGAATAGGACAGTCCTAGGTGGGTGGAATACAGACCCTCCTTGGTCTCTTCTCCTCCTTTGTCCTGGACCCTGCAGAATGACCACTGAAGGGATGAATGTGTGCTTCCAACCTGCCAGCTCAGACATGACTAGATCCTGTAGCCTAGTGTAGACCCAATCTGGCCATTTAAGCCACGTCCAGATCAACTGCCAGCTCCCATCATAAGGCTACAGATTCCTCCCCACCAGACTGTGAGCACCAACAGGTAGAGGCTGGCTCCCAAGTGCTATGACCTTGGATGTGTGTTCTCATTTCCAAAAGGCTGGATCCACCTCCGAGGATGGCTGGGAGGTTGAAATTAGTAATCCACAGAGGCAATTGCTGTTCTGGCTATTTATTGCTTTGGTGCTGTTGAGTGGAGAGAGCTTTCCAGGGGCTAAGCACCCAGTGCACACTTTGTAGATGTGTGTCCTGTGGACAAGGAATGGTAAGACGCAGTGCTGGGTGTGCATTCTCTTTCCCAGAGTAGTGGCCCTCCTGGGAGCTTAGAGCATCCCCTGCCCCAGTCTTCTCTGGAGGGTAGCTCAAAGCTCTGCGAGGGTCTATAGCGTCATCCTGGCATCTAGCTCCAAACACAGAGCCTGGCTCAGCCCTTACCCAGCATCAGAGGCAGCCTTGGGATGTGTGTTTTATGTTGGGGGAGAGCCGATTACCTGAGGAGGACCAAGGGCTGAGCTTCTGTTCTCTGGACGCTGCCTTTTGCTACCATGAGGAGCCCTCAGCCTTCCAATTCCCCCTCAACCTTGGTCTTGCTGGAGGGAGAGGGTCTATGGACCTGACCGCTCCCCCTCACCCCGTTCCCCTATGCGGAGGACTCTCAGGGCTAGACAGCCCCACCCCTTCCTCCAGTGCTTCTGTTGTGCTAATGCCTGTGGAGCATCGGTCTCTCCTGGGGAGTTCTGGGCTGCCACGTTGTGGGCTGCGTGGGAGGCCCCAGGGGCTGGGAGTGGGGTGAGAAGGATGCTTGGAGATTCACATGTTGGAGGCAGTTGTTGGGCGGCCGTGGCCCTCAGTGTGGTACTCCGTGGCCGCTGTTTCTGGGGGAATATCTGTGTAGAGCAGGGCATTAACCCTTTGTGCCAGTGGTCGAGATACGTGGGCCCTGCAAAGATAAGCAGGGCTGAGGGTCCTCTCTCTTGCGGCTGGCTCCCTGAGCTCTCCCCGCAGCCCTCAATTTCACTGGATCACAATGTTTCCAATATGTCCTGAGCTTGAGCTCAGAAAATCTGCGCGGGTGGGGAGGGGAGAACCCTAGTCTGTGGTCTTGCTGATCTCTGGGCTTTTATTTCGCACCCAAACACCCACACATCTTCACCACACGGGTCCCAAGGATGGATGCAAAAGTCCCAAGCCCCTCAGCGAGAATCTTGCTGTGCCCAGCTCCACAATCCCAACAAAGGCGCCCGACCACGTGCCCTTCTCCTCGTGGACCTGGAATGGGGAAGCTCCATGCTCACGGTCCCTGCTCAGGCCAGGGCTGGGTGGGGATTCGATGCTAGGCCGAGGGTGCGCGTGGAGCCTCCCCTAGCAGCCCGGCCGCCCCCGGCTGCGCCTCGCCCACTCCCATCCGCACACGCTGCAGCGCCCCGCAATTGGCGCTAGGGGGAGCCGTGGCAACTGGCTTGAACTGACAAAACTGCATCCAACAGCTATTTCCTTGGACTTGCAGGGGGAAATGGGAGGGGGTAAAGATGCACGCCCCCCCCCCTTAGGCAGCTCCAGGCTCTTCCCATGGGAGGCTGAGAACACAGGGGTGTGTGTGTGTGGGGGGGGGGTAAAGGTGTCTTTCCTCTCGGTAACTCACACCTCCAGAGCATCCCTCTTCCCTAACCCGAATCGTGGACCTTCGCAGCCCCCCGCGTTTTGGAGTGCCCCCAAGAACTTCACCACGCGCGACAGCGGGATCCAGAGCCTAGCAGCCCCCTGAGAATGGAGAGCATCCGTCTCTCGGAGTCTGGGAAGGGGGTCCAGGGTGACAGCGCCTCCTGTCGCCCAGCAAGGCGGGTGGGGTGGGGCGGAGTGAGTCGACTGGCCGGTGGCTGGGAGCTTTTGCGCAGGGAAGGGGAGTGCGGGGGCGAGCCGATGAGAGCAAGAGATCTTTGGGGAGACAGCCTGAGACAGAGAGACAGGAGAAATAGCCTGAGGCAGAGAGATGCTACCCCCAAACAACAAGAGGCTGCCGTTTTATCTCACCCCCGCGCCCCCCGCACGCCACCCCGGTTCGTTCTTTCCTATGCCCTTAGCAAGGCTGGAACCACCCGTGTGCCCTGGGGCCGGAGCCCCGGCTCCAGATGTGAATTTGGTTCCAGTGGGAAGAACGCGAGCTTCCTCCGGGCCTTGGCACATTCTCCCACTCTGAGGTCATTCCGTAGGTGGTCAGAGGGGAGCGCGCGCCTGGAGCCTTCCTGCCTCCATCCACTGGAGAGGGAGGAGAGGCGGGCGGGAGGGAGCAGAAAGGGAGAGGGGAGGGGCGCGAGGAGGGAGGGAGACGCCGCCAGCACACCACCAAGTGGCACCGAGCAGTGATAACAAACTCAACTTAAAAAAAAAAAAAAAAAAAGAAAGAAAGAAAGAAAAAGAAAAGGAAAAAAACTTCCCCAAGTTGCTGCCTGAGACGTGCGGACGTGCGGTCGGAGGCACGGGGCGGGGAGTGTGGGTGGCCCAGAAGTCTCCGGGCTGCGGCGAGCTCAGACTAGAGCCAAGTAGGCCCTTGCAACCCTGGTTGCGTAGGGAGATGTGTTGGAGGCTGGCTCAGCTTCCTGCTGGAGACCCCGGAGCAGCCAGTTCCCAGGGGGGCAGGACCCGCTGATGAGAGGGGTGGGATGGGGGACGACTGGGAGACGTGTAGCGCCGGGCTCCATCCCTAGAACCCGCATCACACACACCCCGGGACTCCCAACCATGGCCCTGCGACGTGGGAAGATCCGGCCCGCCGCAGTCCTGGAGAACTGGGGTTTGCATGCGTGTGTGTGTGTGTGTGTGTGTGTGTGTGTGTGTGTGTGTGCCCACCTCTAGGCCCACGTGAAAGCAAAGCACTACCATACACTCTACAGTCGACTTTTTATTAAGATTATAAATTTAAACAAATAATCTGAACAGTTTTACCCGGTGAGATTCAATTCAGTATGCACAAAAATACAGGAGGAAGAAGGGCCGGAAAGACAAGGTTGGCAACTTGTTTTGGAGTCTCTGAGGTGGTAATGGTAGAGACCCAGAGGGGGTCTAGGCGAACCTCACCTTCTCACAACAAAAGGCTTTTAAATTAAACAGAATCTATCGAGCTGAGGACGCAGACAGGGTTCTCACAGGCTGGAACAATGCTGGTTTCACGAGATGGAACCGAAGAGCGAAGCAGGACAAGGTAACTTAGAAGCGCGCACACAAACACCACTGCTGACCAGGAGCTAAGTGAAGCTAAGCGAAAAGTCTCCAGCGCAGTCGGCGGTCCGGGCCCCTCCCTCCCCCGGGGCCGCCGGGGATCCAGGTGAAGGAATCGACTTCCTTTTTTGTTTAGTGAGGACCGCAGTGCTGGGCATGATGGGAAATGTAGTTCGCCCTGCTCGCCCCCCACCCCTTCCCCAACTGTGCTGAGTGTCGGGGTGTCGGGCGCCACCTTCCCCCTGGTCCGGGAGGCGGGTGGAGGAGGGGAGGAGGACGGAGCCAGAGGGGCGGGGAGAGGAGGGGTTCTAGACGCCCGCCCCGGCAAGAAAAGAAAAAAAAAGTTGAAGTGTTTTCATTTCTGCCTTCTCATTTTGAGAACTTTGGAGGCCGCCCCCAGAGAGGAAATGTGACCGAAACGTCCCTTTTGGAGATAGAGTTTGCCTTTGTTTTTTTGCTCAGAATTTCACAAGACCCATTCCTCACCCTAGAGAGGAACTCAGGAGAGCGGAACGTCGGGCTTCCAGGCTGACAACTGATTGGAGTCGGCGTCCCGGGCCCCGCGCCCTCCTGCGTTGCGCCCCCAGCGCGCCCCGGCACCCAGCCTCGCCCCCGGCTGCCCGGCACCTCCTCCGGGCAGCAGCCCTGCCTCACGTGGCAGGCTCCTCACTAAACACCACTGCAATCAGTACAATAAAAAGAAAAAAAAGAGTAAGAGAAACACAAAGCATACTTAAATAGGCGCTTTTTCTCTCTGCAAAAATAAAGTCCAAGATTTTTTAGATTTTTTTTTATTTTACAGTTTATAAAACATCAGCCTCTGCTCGCCCCCTGCTCGCCCCGAGTGGCCAGGACCCGCTCGCTCCCTATCGTCCCTTGGCCGAGTCTTTGTCTGGCCCCAGCCCCGCGGGGCCCAGGGTCCCCATGCCCTCGGGGGTCCCTAGAAGGCGACAATGGCTCGAGTCCAGGCGCCGAGGCTGGCGAGCGCCTGCTTGGCGCACAGCTGCCCGTTGAGCGGCGGCGGCTGCTCCGAGGAGTCCGGCTGTCGGCTCACCAGCCCCGAGAAGCCCGAGCCAAAGATGGAGATCAAGTTTGAGATGTTGGACGCGTCCGGGGACGAGTCCGGGCAGAAGTCCTCGAAGCGGGCGCGCTTACAGGGGGCGAACGGGGCGCCCCCGGGGGGCTCGGCTCCCAGGTCACCCGCGTCCTCCTCGTCGTCGTCCTCTTCCTCCTGGCCAGGGTAATACTTGCGCTTGCAACCAGCGGCGGACGCCAGGCCGGGTCCCGGAGCGCCCTGGCCACAGCAGGGGCAGTGGGCGGAGGCGCAGCAGTCCTGGTGCAAGTAGCCGTTTTCCACCGTGGTCACCACGTGAGTGTCCAGGTCCAGCACGGTGGTCTGGCTGCTGCAGTGCACACCGAAGTCCGAGGGGGCCGGGTACGCGCCCCGGTAGAAGCCAGGGGACGAGGAAGGGGCTGGAGAGGCGGGCGGAGAGGAAGCGGCGACGGTCGGTGGGGCAGCCCCCGGGGGCGCTGAGGGCGCAGAGCAGGCGGCCGGGACGCGAGGGTC